ATCCAGGCTTCTTGTAAGACTCAGGGAGCTCAACCCCGTGCTCTGGGACAACCCAGAGGGGTGGAAAGGGGTAGGAGAGGTTGGGAGGGAGGTTCACAAGGAAGGGGGCATAGGTATACTACGGCTGATTCAAGTTGATGTATGGCCAAAACAAACACAATATTGTAAAGCAATTATCCTTCAATTAAAAATAAAATAATTAAACAAACAAACAAAACAATGAATCCAGGCTTCCACTGCAGGGGGCCCGGGTTCTGAGAACTAAGATCCCGAATGCCTTGTGGTGCAGCCAAAAATTAAAAAAATTAAATTAGGGACTTCCCTGGTGGCACAGTGGATAAGAATCCACCTCCCAATGCAGAGGACAAGGGTTTGACCTCTGGTCTGAGAAGATTTCTCATGCCTCAGAGCACCTGAGCCCACGAGCCAAAACTACTGAAGCCTGTGTGCCTAGAGCCCATGCTCTGCAGAAAGAGAAGCTTGTGTAATGAGAAGCCCATGCACCACAACTGGAGAGTAGCCCCGCTCTCCCCAACTAGAGAAAGCACACGTGCAGCAACAAAGACCCACTGCAGCCAAAAATAAATAAAGCAGTGTGTACATGTCAAGAAAATAGTTTGTTAAAAAAAAAGAAAAATTTAAAAAAGGAGCTCAGGANAAAGCACACGTGCAGCAACAAAGACCCACTGCAGCCAAAAATAAATAAAGCAGTGTGTACATGTCAAGAAAATAGTTTGTTAAAAAAAAAGAAAAATTTAAAAAAGGAGCTCAGGACACCCATTCAGATATGAGTGTGAAGTCACCCCACACCCTCCAAGTCTTGCTGCGTGTGACTGTTCCCCTCTGCTCCCCAGAGTCCTGACCCATGAGGTGGTGTGAGGATTTCTCTTATGGGGGCTGTGGGGGGTGTCACATCAGATATGGAGGCCTTCAAGGCAGTGGTGACCTGTAGATGTGAACTACTCCATCACAGGGTCAGTGACCTAAGAAACAGGACTTGTCTGAGGAGGTGAAGGTGATGGAAAAGATGCTGTTCTCTATTAGTGGGGACCCCTTGATGAGAAGTCACAGAAACTCAAAATTGCTCAAGTAAAACATAATGGATGGCTTCAGGTGTGGCTTTATCCAGGGACTCAAACAACTGTCTCAGAAGTCCAGCCCTTTCTGCTTCTGGCCTCTGTTGGCATCTCCCTAGGGTGGAGAAGCAGTACCATCCCAGCTCACATGGGCCGCCCTCGCCATGGTGGGGCCCTGATCCTGTTCCACTCATGGCCAGGAACAGCTGGGCAGCTTCAGGGACCCAAGTTCTGGGGCAGGGTGACAGGACCCCTCCTACCTAGTCGACACAGGAGGCTGGAGGGTCCTGTGGACCACGTGGCCAGGTCTGAGGGATCACGGGAGGCTGCAGAGGATTGGGGAGGGTGTTCGGGAAGTTCAAGCTTGTGAGGCCACAGAGGGAGCCTGGCTGATCCACATCCCTCGAGACCCATGTTCACTGGGCCTGATCATGTCCAAGCCCAGCTTCAAGGGTGGGGTTCAGGATAGAGTTCAGTGTTGGGGGACCCCATAACCCCTGGGCCTAGGTCCAACTAGGCCTTGCACTAGGTCCAGGCCAGTGCATGAGTTGGGGGTGGTGAGATGCCACCGCACCTGGAGCCGTCAAACCTCACACCCACCCCTCCACCTGCAGCAGGTGTTGTGAGTTAAGCGCTCAGCCTTCCCCTCTGGGAATCAGCTGAACCCAGCTGAGTTTCATCCTGGCTGGGTATGCGAGGCTGGAAACCTGGGGAGCAGCAAAGGCTGGGAGGCACGGGCAGGCACAGGACTCCACACCTTCACCCTAGTCGCATGTCGCCAGCCCTCAAGCGCTTGTGTCCCCATGCTAGGCACAGGCTTACTGTATATGCTCCCTGGAGGATCCAGTAAGTGCTGTGTGATGTCCTTGCAGGACACAGGGGCTGCTCTATGCTCTTTCTACAGGACTCAGTGCCTGCTGTATACATTCACTGCAGAGTACAATGCCTGCCATAGACACTGTACTCAGTGCCTGCTGTGTGCACTCCTTACAGTGTGCTGTGACTTTTGTATACATTTTTTTTGCAGGCTACATGGACTGTTGCATACACTCCTGGGGACGTTCAGTTCAGTTCAGTCCAGTCGCTCAATCGTGTCCGACTCTTTTCGACCCCATGAATCGCAGCACGCCAGGCCTCCCTGTCCATCACAAACTCCCGAAGTTTACTCAAACTCATGCCCATTGAGTCGGTGATGCCATCCAGCTATCTCATCCTCTGTTGTCCCCTTCTCCTCCTGCCCCCAATCCCTCCCAGCATCAGGGTCTTTTCCAATGAGTCAACTCTTCGCATAAGGTGGCCAAAGTATTGGAGTTTCAGCTTCAGCATCAGTCCTTCCAATGAACACCCAGGACTGATCTCCTTTAGGATGGACTGGTTGGATCTCCTTGCAGTCCAAGGGACTCTCAAGAGTCTTCTCCAACACCACAGTTCAAAAGCATCAATTTTTCGGCGCTCCGCTTTCTTCACAGTCCAACTCTCACATCCAAACATAACCACTGGAAAAACCATATCGGGACATTCAATATCTACTAAATGCATTCCTTGCAGGCTGCAGTATTATCTATTGTATACGCTCGTTGCAGGACAAAGGGCCTGCTGGATGCATGTCTCTAGGATGCAGTGACTGCTGTATATATCCCCTCCAAAGCCTAATGCCTGCTGTGTATGCTCCCTGCAGGACACAGTGCCTGCTGTATGCACTCTGCTGAGCACAATGCTTGGCATATGCAGTCCTTGAAGCCTTCTGTATACCTTCCCGCAGGCACACTGTCTCCACCCCCTGGGGCTTGGGGCCTGAGGCACATGGGAGGGGGATGAGCTTGTCCACTTGGTGGCGCTCCTGGTCAAGCCTGATTTCTTTCTGACACCGCCCAGGCCCTAGGTCCCAGCTTCGCACACAGTAGGTGCTCTGCAGAGGGTACCTGCTCTCACCATTACCCGCCTCCTCCTGCCACCCTCTCGAGCCCTGACCCACGAGGCTCAGCCTTGTCAAGGTCACTGCCTCCATCGATGCTGATCCACCAGCCACTGGTTCAGCTCCATCCTTACCTCACCCACACAGGTTACTCCCCCCTCCCAGACGCCCACTTTTTGGAGAACTGAGGGGACCCCAGTCTTTGTTCTGTCCACACGCACACCCCATGACCTCATCCACTACTCTCACCACCACTGTGTGCAGTGGATGCCCACGTGTCCCTCTCTGGCCAGATGTGGCCCCTGGGCTCCCAGCCTCTCGGTGCCTCAGGCCTAGACCCATCCCCAGCTGACCTCTGAACTTGCCTCCCACCCCCACCCCTCAGGGAAGAGGGCTCCTCCCCTCCCTGGCTGCTCAGGCCAGCCTCCTGCCTGCCTCCTCCCATCCAATCCCCCTGGGATCTGTCACACAGCCTGCAGACGCCACTCCCAGACTGCTGGGAACCACCCAGTGCTGTCCCCTCCCCCACCCCAGCCCTTGGCCCCACCATGCTATTTGCTCCAACCACACTAACTTCCCTATGGTACCTTATTCTCAATTCCAGCCTCAGGACCTTTGCATGTGCTGTTCCAGGTGCCCTTCCGCCACCTCCCTGTGGCAATCACCTTCTGGGGAAGGGCCTTCCTGACCCCCCACCCCATCTGCAGTGGGCTTGAGCTATTTTTTCAGAGCCTCTAGGTCAGAAGGTGGCCTTACACCCTTCTAGGGGATGCCTACCTCACTAGCCTAATTGGTGGGGTTGTTTCCTGGTGCAGCAGTACAAGTGTGTGCTCAGTCTTCAGTCGAGTCCGACTCTTTTTGACCCCATGGACTGTAGCCCTCCAGACTCTTCTGTCAATGGGATTCTCCAGGCAAGAATACTAGAGTGGGTTTGCCATGACCTCCTCCAGGGACTCTTTCCAACCCAGGGATCCAACCACAGTCTCCTGTATTGCAGGCAGATTCTTTACCGCTGAACCACCCAGGAAGCCCGCAGTGGCACACAGTAAGTGCTCAATAAGTTTTGGACAAATAAATGGCATTGGATCGCCCTGCTTTTAGCTGCTCCATGCTGGAGAAATGAGCAGGATCTGCAATGCGCCCTCCCTGTGGTCTGGGCTGGGAGACCCCACACCGGGCTCCCGGGAGAAGGCAGCACTCAAGCTGAGCCTGGGCGAGCCCACGAAGAAGGGCAGTCCTCCCTTCGCCCACTTGGTGACCCAGTCTTCTCAAGCCGCTCGCCAGGGGGCATCCCGGGGCGACGGGGAGGAGCCAGGGGGAGGGGGCTAGTGGAGGGCGCCTGCGGCATCCCTGCCAGGGAGGGAGATGAAGGGTACGCAGATGCTAAACCAGGAAAGGGTTGGGATGGTGGGGAGCCCTGGGGTAACCCTGTCCTTGCCGGTCCGCACAAAGTATCGCGGTGGAGACAGGTCCCCGCGGGCCCCATTGCCTGGCTGGGGAACCTGAGGTCGAGGAGGGCGGGTCCGCAGCCACATGAGAGGGGGACCTCCTCGACCAGGGCTAGCATCGAAGCCACAGCTCGCCTCCCCGGGCCGTGCAAGGAGGGCGGGAGGCAGGGTGGGGCGCGTCCTCTGGTGACAGCAGCGCCCGGGAATGCGCCAGGCTGGGAAGGGGCTCTCCGCCCCCCGCGCCCGGCCCCTGGGGCTGAGCTTCTCCCCAATGCTCTGGGGCCCTACGCTGGGGGTGGTCGGGACCAGGGGCGGGAACCCTGCAACCGCAACCCTGAGTGACCTTGAGGGAGGGGTAGGCAAAGGGATTTGGGGAGGGGTAGTGGCCGCGAAAAGGAACCTTCGGGGCGACGCGATCTGGGCGTCGGTGGAGAGAGGGCAGCGCCTCCAGGAGCCGCAGCAGGGCACCCTCGGTGTGCGAACATTCCCGGGCCCTGAGCGCGGCGCCCGGAATAGCAGCCCCGAGGTGGGGGTCAGTCCGCTTCCGCTCGCCCAGGGGCCGCCCGGGGAGCCAGGACGAGCCGCCTGGGCTCTGCGTAGCCGGTAAGTCCCTCTTTCTATCCCCCCACTATCGCGGCCAGAGTCTTCTCCCCCACCCAAAGCTGGGGTTGGGGGATGAGGCAGCCATCCATAGGGTGGGAGGAAGCCACTTCCTCCTGGGGAAACTGAGGCGCGGAGGCGTGGACGCCCTGAGATTGTACCCACCGTGCGGCTCCTCGGGTAGGGAACCCTAGAGAGTGGGAACGGTGGTCCTTCTGGCCCCTCATGTTCCATTACCTAGACCCCCCCACCGCAACAAGCCAGTGCTAAGTGGGAAGCAGTTGTCAGAAGGGCCAGCCCCCTCCCCCTCCCTCTGCTCCCCAGCCCGGTCTTTTTCCTGCTGCCTAAGCCAGCCAGGGCTGGGCTTTAGAGATGCAGCGAGTCACAGGGCTCTGATCAGACGGGGTCCCACCCCGGGGTTGCCCCCCCGCCCAGTTCCTTAGTGTTTCTGAGCCAGGAGAACTGGATAACCAGGGAAACAGGGGCTCAGGGTGGTCTAGTGGGCTGGCCTGCCCCACCCAGCGCCAGGACCTCCACGCTGCAGGCCTCCAACGTCCTGTGTGTCCTCTGGGCACTGCTGGCTGCCGGGTGCCATGGCCCTGGCCCGAGAAAGGACTCACTAGGTGGCTGCTTCCCTCCCCTTCCTCATCCAGTACTGTGGTCATGTGGAGGGTGGGGATGACAAATGACTGCATCCTTCCCTGACAAATAAGGAAACTGAGGCCCAAGGAGGCAAAGTCTCTCTGCCACCCCCTCGCCTACCCCCACGCAGCTGCCTCCCTCTTCCCTCCATCATCCTTACTGGCGGCCCCTTTCCCTCTTGCAGGCGGCTCGGGGGCTCCATCCGACACCCTCCGCACATGAGGCCATGAGGCACCCACTGGACCAGGGCCAGGTCACCCCTCCCTGCCCCTTACCCCATCCAGGAGCTCCTTGCTGTCTCACATCTGGGAGCTGAGGGAGCCCTGGAGGCTGGGGGCCTGCCTGTGAGGGGGTGTCTCTGCCGGGCACCAGCCCTAGCTCCCACCAGCCACACCCTCTGCAAGGTCTCATAGAATACTGGACAGAACCGAGCTGGTCCCCATTACACAGATGGGGAAACTGAGGCCAGAGAAAGAGGAGCACCTGGCCCCTGGCCATACCAGAAGGTAAGTGCAAAGATGGTGGGGAGAGTGGGGAAGGACCTAGGACCCTAGAGAGACCTGTGCACATCCCTGGAATGAATGATTCTTTCCATGATGAGACACTAAATAAGCACCTACTGTGCATCATGACAATAAACAACCAATAATAATAATTTTTACGTTTTCCTTCTCCATACCAGGCTCTGTGCCTCCCATTTTTCTCACCTAATCTGACGGAGCCCTCAAAACTTTTCTATTAGGTGGGCTCTATTATGACTTCATTTTTCAGAGATGAGAAGGGAAGCTCAGAGAGGTTGAGTTACTGTCTGAAATCAGACAGCCAGTTGGGGTGGAGCTGGGGTTCAACCCCTGGCCTGCTGGCACCCCCACTTCCATGCACCCTCTGCCCCCCCAGACCCCGCTCCCTCTGGAACCTCTTGCTTCTGCTGTGGACCTTCCTGAATTGTGGTTTGGGGGGCAACGCTCAGGTAAAAGGGGACATAGGCCCTGGGGCAGCAGGATGGGGACGCGGCTGCGGCACGGGATTAGCCAGCCTCCCCTCCAGGCTGACTGTGACTCTCTCTCCCCAAGTAGGGTCCAGGTGAGTGGACGCCATGGGGTTCCTGGAGTCGCTGTTCCAGCTCTTGCGGGCGAGGGCTCTCAGTGCGCAGCCGGAGATGTATCCGGTGAGGAGGCTGCCCAGTGGAATGGGAGGGGGGTCCTTGCCCCTCCTCTCCTGCCAGCCCAGCCTAGCCCCTGGCCGCACCCTTGGCCTGCCCACACATGCTGTGACTTTTAATCCCACTGATCCAGCTGGAATGTGGGTGGGGTTGGCGAGGGTAGACTGATGGGTAGGCTGGTTTTGGGGAAGGGGGTTCCCGGAGGTGCTGACAACAGTCTGGCCCCCTTGCTCCTCATAGGTTTCCAAGGGAAGAACTGTGCTGGGGAGACACCCATGAGTACCGCCTCTGCCAGCAGCCTGTATGTACTACCCACCCCATCTCTTAAACTCAGTTCTCCCTGAAGCCCTCCTGCTTTCCTGCTCAAGCCCCCAAATATGCTTACCACCATACCAGGTGCTCTAGGGCTGTCCCAGCCTCTGCTTCACCCATCTCTGTCCCCAGGACTGTCCCCCAGGGGCCATGCCCTTTCGAGACCTCCAATGTGCCCTCTACAATGGCCACCCCGTCCTAGGCACCCAGAAGACCTACCAATGGGTGCCCTTCTATGGTGGTGAGTAGCCCAGCCTCCTGTTAGTCCAGAGGGAACAACTCAAAACTGGCCAGAAAAAGTTGGCTTCTAAAAAGGAAGAGGAACTTGGAGGGTTGCAAGAAGGGGGGCATTAGCACTGGGGCTTTGCAGGATATGTAGGAGTTGGTGAAGTGAAGCCGAGAAAGCATGTGGGAGTTGTGAAGCAGGGGCAGAAGGAGGAAGGGTCTATTCTGCACAGAGTTGAACACCAAGCTGAGGATTTACTGGGAGCTGTATCCAGAGGCCAAGAGTTCTCAAACTTATACCAGTAGCAGGAAATGTTGTTGAGCTGAAAATAGCAAGTTATATAACTGTGTGCCCAGGGCAGCGCGCCTCCAGATTTAAGGGGGAAAGGCAGCTTCAGACGCCACGGTGGGGGTAGACACAGATAAGAAAATCCTGGAATGGAGAAAGTTCCAACCGTCAACCTCATGGGTTGTTTCTTTTTTTCCCTTCACCCTAAGAATTGGAGGAAACTTGCCATGATCTCACCCCCACAGAGGCCCGCCAGGGCCAGCTTAGGCTCCATTCCAGGCAGGGTCTGCCAGCCAGCCTCAGGAAGTTGGGAGATGGAGGGAGTTTGAGCAGGGGTGGGGTGAGGGAGCAGGGATCGGGGCTGTGAGCCTGTGGGTGTGATCAGACTATCCATTGTGCCCCGCTGCCAGGCAGAGGGGAAAACAGAGTCCCAGGGAGGGACAGCAACATACTCAGGATATGCAGGACTCAGCACTGAGTAAATACTTTTTATTGAGCACCTGCTGGGTGCAGGGTCCAAGTGCTGAATGAATTCTGCCCACCACTCTACCCAGAGCCTAGAACATTGTCTGGGAAATGTGCTTGATAACTGTTTGTGGAATGAATATATTAAAGAATGAGTGAAGAATAGGTAATGACGTTGATATTGTGTGTGCATGCTCAGTCGTGTCCGACTCTTTGCAGCTCCATAGACTGTAGCCCGCCAGCCAGGCTCCTCTGTCCATGGAATTTTCCAGGCAAGAATACTGGAGTAGGTTGCCATTTCCTTCTCCAGATGACGTTAATAATGGGTCCCTAGTACTAGGACTTAACATGAATGAATGAATGAACGAACGAATGGAATACATTCTGGCCCAGTATACGAGTCTGGGACAATCCCAGGGAACAGGAAGCAGAATGCCTAAGGTCCAGTCCGTGCTCTGCCTCAGCCTCCATTTGTGGCTTTGGCTGAGTCTCTGAGCCTCATATGCCCAAGGGGATGGCTGTCTGGGGAAGACTGGCAAGGAGGGAGCTGGAATTCAAATATAAATCCCCCCGCACGCCCGCCGACTTCTCGCATCCCCAGCACCCAACCAGTGCGACCTCAACTGCCTAGCCGTGGGGCACGACTTCTATCACAGCTTCGGTCGCGTGCTGGACGGTACCCCCTGCAGTCCGGGCGCCCAGGGACTCTGCGTGGCTGGCCGCTGCCTCGTGAGGATTCCAGGCCCCGCCCCGCCCCGCCCATTCCCACCAAGGCCACGCCCCCTAAATTCCACCCCGCCTCTTCCCTCCAAACCTCGCCTCCAAACCCCATTTATTTAGTTCCTGGTCCTGCCCTCTTCCCTAGGCCCCGCCCCGTATCAAGTCCTTGCCCTCCCCTGCCCCATCTATCACTAGACTCCATCCCCAGCCTCCTCCCACGAGGACCTGCCCCCAAGGCTCCATCCTTTTAGTTCTAGATTCAGCTTTCTTCCAGGGTCCCGCCCCTTCGATGGCCTAGGCGGGCGGGGATCGTCTGACGGTGCGCGTGTCCACCCCACCCCTTTAGAGTGCCGGCTGTGACGGTTTGCTGGGCTCCGACGCCCGCGAAGACCGCTGCGGCCGCTGCGGCGGCGCCAACGATTCGTGCCTCTTCGTACAGCGCGTGTTCCGCGACGCCGGTGACCGCCTGCCCTGTCCTCGAGTTCTCCCAGAGCTCTTTTTGTCCTTAATGTCCCGCGCTGATTGGACAGTCTCCGGCCCACCCCACCCCCCATCATTCTGATTGGTCTTTGCCAGATTATTCCGCCCTTCCCCGAACAGACGTGGATTTAACTCTTTTGCTGCCGCACTTAAACGGTGGTAATAATCCTAACTCCAACCCATCGGTCAGTACTGGTCTTCGGAGGACCAGGGCCTTGGCTAATCTCCTTACCGCAGCATCTCACTTAACCCTCAAACCATCCTTCAAATACACCCTAGCTGCTCCCCAACACCTTCCTTCCCTCCCGCCCAGGTGCCTTCGCTGGGTACTGGAACGTGACCCTGATCCCCGAGGGTGCCAGACACATCCGCGCCGCCCACCGGAGCCGGAACCACCTGGGTATCGCAGGGTCCGAGGGAGGCGGCGCCGCGCTGGCCGCCCGAATCCCGCGGGGAGGGAGATGGCAGGGTCGGGGTGGTGGGCAAGGTCATTTCCAGGGAGCCCGGGCTGACCTTTCTCTTGCAGCGCTGATGGGCGGCGACGGGCGCTACGTGCTCAACGGGAACTGGGCGGTCAGCCCAGCCGGGACCTACGAGGCAGCGGGCACCCGCGTGATCTACACCCGCGCCACAGGGCCGGAGGAGACGCTGCGCGCCGCCGGGCCCACCTCCGAAGACCTGCTCCTGCAGGTGGGGGTGGGCCTGAGAGGGCGGCTGGGCGTTGGGGGTGGGGTCAAAGAATCTTGGGTGGAGCCCAACCCAGGCATTGAATTCGAGTTCTGGCTCCCTCGGGAGCGCTATGGCCCCTTCCAGGCGCAGGCTCAGGTCTTGGGCTGGTCCCCGCGGCAGCCTCAGCCTCGGGAGGTAGACCCTCAGCCCCTTGAGTCCCCCACTGTCATCCCTCCACCGATCCCGATCCCCACTCCAGGTGAGCTGGGGACAGCCTGGGTTGGGGGCCAGCAGGAGCAAGGCCCGCACCCCTGACCGCACTGCCCCTGCAGAGCCCTGTCCCCCCTGCCCGGACACCCGCGGTCGTGCCCACCGGTTGCTCCACTATTGCGGCAGTGACTTCGGTGAGAGGTCCCTGACCCCATCCCTCACCTGGCCCCCAATTGACCTGAACTTGACCCCTGTCCTGCTGACCTCTAACCCTGGTCCAGCTTTACTCTTCACTCCTTGACCTGACTAAACTTGACCCATTCTGACCCTAATTTGACTCCCTGATCTGATCCTTTGCCCTAATCTGACTCCTGATCCTTCATTGTTCCCTAAACTGACCTTGACCCCAGGCCACAGCTGACCACATTCCCAAGAGCCTCCATTGCCCCACCTGACCCCCAGTTCTGTCATTTTGCAATGGGTACATGGTTGGGACCCAGGCCCTGTCCAGCAGGGCTCAGCATGGTCCCACCCACAGTGTTCCAGGCCCGGGTGCTGGGCCGCGTCCGCCAGGCCCAGGAGACCCGCTATGAGGTGCGTGTACAGCTCATCTACAAGAACCGCTCTCCACTGCGGGCCCTGGAGTACGTGTGGGCGCCAAGCCGCTGCCCTTGCCCCCCGCTGGCCCTCCATCGGGACTACCTGCTGGCTGCCCGGCGCCTCATTAGCCCTGATGGCACCCAGGACCGGCTGCTACTCCCCCATGCTGGCTACGCCCGGCTCTGGAGCCCCGCCGAGGACAGTCGCGTGCGCCTGGCTGCACGGCACTGCCCTCTCTGAGCCCCCGGACCAGACCTTGGCCACACATGGGTGACTAGTCTAAGTCAGCATATGTCTCCTCTTTCTATAGCTTCCAGGGAGCTAGGAACTGTTTGTCTTCCACCTGCAGCTCTATGACTCCCATCATCACACTCAGATACCCCTACTTTCAGAGCCACTGTCACCAGCAGGTCCACAGTGGTGAGGACTCAATGAACAGACTTTTAATTCTGGTTTCGTCTCTCACCTTGGCTGCCAGGAAACGCATAGCTGTTCTACACCCAGACACTTTGTGTCTGCTTTTATTCCCCTTGCTTCACACTCATGTGCTCAGAGACATTGTCACACACAAGCCTGGTCCCAGGAAAACATGCCTAAAGAGACGTGGTAACGGTTTTCCCTCTTGTCCTGCCTACCAGGAAGTTCATCACTGTTTAACCCCCAACACTCTCTCCTTTTAGGCTGCTACTTACACACGCACTCTCATATTTTCAGAGACACTGTCACAAACAGGCATGACCCCCAGAAAACATGCCTACCCAGGCACTGTAACATACCAATTTCCCCTTTTGCCCTTGCTACCAGGAAGTTCACAGATAATCTTAACAGCTTCAGCAATTTGAGGGTGGGGTGGGCTTTCCTCCAGGCAACCCTGCTGTTCACCCCTTTTTTTATTCCTATTTAATTTTTACAAGAGCTGTTTTTTAAAAAAATAATAAAAAAAACAAGCCCAGTTACACACACTTGGCCACAGACACTTTGGAATGCGCTGGTAGTCAGATCCACAGTCATGCTCCCTGCCCCCCCCCACCAACCCCCGTGTGCACATGTGATCATGTGCACTTTGCCCCTCCTCCTCCTGCTCCAGCCCCCAACTCCCTCCAGCATGGCTGAGGGAGGTCCTGGGAGGACGGTGATGACCAGGAAATAGATGATAAGGGAAGGTGGGGGGTTTCTTAGGTCCCAATCCTGTCCCCATGCCCCTTGGGGCCACACATACCTCTCAGGCCAATTCGGGGGGGGACCCCTCCAGCAGAGTAGGCAGGTCAGGGCCCCACCTTCAGCCCGTGCCCTGTCCTCATGTGTTCTGGATGTGGTCTCCTCACAGACTCTAGAGCCAGGAGGGTAGGCCGAGGTCATGGGGATTGGAAGTGTCTGCGGGGTACCAGCAAACCTCTCCTTCTGCCTCGCCACCCTGAGTGGGGTGGCTCATGCCATCATCTGAGACAACCTGCTCATCTGTACCGTCTGTGGTTGTTTTCCTCTGGGGCGCAGGATGGTGGGAGTGTGCAAGGGGTGCAGGACATGCAGGTCTCAGTGGACTCAACCCTTGACCTTGTGGGTGACCTCCGGTCAAGCCCTGCAGCTCTCTGGGCCTCAGTTTCCCCACCTGTGCGTACCCTTTCAGCCCCACTCAGCCCTGACCATGGGAACCACATCCTTCGGGACTCCTGCCCTACCCCTTCGGTTCACTCGTGCGTTCCTCCAAAGACTATTTATTGAGCGCCTACTGTACGCCTGGGACCAGCAGCTCCTGGGGCAGCCCAGGCCTGTTCATTCTGCGAAAAGTGATGAAGCCGGAGGGTCTCGGGACCGCCCACCCCGCAACCCCGCGAGGCTGAGCGGGTCGCAGCTCTGGAGGGAGGCGTGGTGCCCGCGCGCCCCCTGGTGGTAGGATGGGGAAGAAGGGATTCAGCGCTCCGGGTGTTACCTGCAGTCCCCAAGGGTCCCGGAAAGGCCCAGATGGGCCCCTCTGCCTCATTGCAGTGCGGGGATGGATCGTGGAAGTTGAGTCTCTGGCTTCCTCCTCCCCGGAGCTCTGCGGAGTAGCGCTGTCATCTACTCCCCAGGCAGCTGGACCGGTTGACCAGGGCGAGGCGCCTGCCCCGGGGTGGTTTGGGGGTGGGGAGAGAGAGACGCCAGTGCAGGGTTCACTAGCAGACGGCATGGCCTGTGACCCCACCAGCCGCGACTTCCCGAAGCCACTCTTTCAGGGGGCAACATTGTTTCCGGAAATGACCATGTAACCAGGGATCGATGGAGCCATTTAAAGAGAGAACACATAGCAATTTTAAAGATACTCGAATCAGCAACGTTGGTCGAAACTAGCATTAGCCCTTGCCCAGCAAAAGTTCCACACCGCTTTGACTCTTTCCTTTTAAACATGAATAAAAAGGCCAGGTGGTTACATGCAACAAAGGAAATGAGTGACTCAAGATCTGTTTCTTTGCGTCTTTACCATCCTCGGGTTTATTATTGACTGTGTCCACTTGGGTTAGCGACTGGATCGCTGCCCGGAAGGACCGCAGGTGATTACAGACGGAAACTCCCTCTCCAGGGAGGCATGCACAACTGAGTCCACTCAAGCCTCCTGTGCTGGGAATTCTTCAAATGGACTTCCCTCAGGAGGCAATGTTTATTAAAGGATAAAGGATGAAAACTGGAGAAGGAAATGACAACCCACTTCAATATTCTTGCCTGGGAAATCCGAGGGACAGAGGAGCTGGGCAGGCTACAGTGTATGGGGTCACGAAAAGTCAGACACGACTTAATGACTAAACAATAACAACTCCTTGGTCTTTGGGTCTGTGTAACTTAAAGCTAAGTTCTTGGGACTTCAACTTCCTAGTAATATTTTGAGGCTAATATTGGAGCTATCTGGACTTCATCTAGCAGATTTGAGACAAATAAGGAGCTATTATGGGGCTTCCCAGGTGGTGCTAATGGTAAAGAATCTGCCTGCAAGTGCAGGAGACATAAGAGATGCAGGTTCTATCCCTGGGTTGGGAAGATCCCCTGGAAAAGGAAATGGCACCGCACCCCAGTATTCTTGCCTGAAAAATTAAAATTCCATGGGCAGAGAAGCCTGGTGGGCTACAGTCCAGGGGGCCACAAAGAGTTGGACATGACTGAGCACACAAAGAATGAAAACAGGCAAGTTTGGAACTTGCGTTCCTGTTAATAAAACTGTAGTAATCACAGCAGCTAATTCATCCTCCCCCCAGAAGATTGTATTCAGCAATCTTGCAGCATGCCAGCTGTGGGATGGGGCTTACGATGCTTTTCTTACTGTTTTGAGTTCTCTGCAGAGATCACCCCTCTTGTTGGCTGCACTTCTGTCTCACTGACCCTGTACCATCTGGCTGGCCCACAGGAGGACACACATCCAGCTGAAGGGCTGCCCTCCACCCCTGAACTGTCTCACACCCAGAGGGTTAGTTGAGGGCATGGGGGTTAGGATGGTGTGACCACCTGAGAAAACAGTTTGGCTGTTTCTGCTACAGTTGAAGTAATGCTCATGTACAAGGTTGAATTATCATGTTCGTGTCCTACCCTCTAGAATCTGTGAACAGGACCTTTGGGGAAAGGGTCTTTGCAATGTAATTGAGGGTCTCAAAGGAGTACCTGAGTGAATCCTAAATCCAATGACCAATCGCCTTGAGGGGGCACAGAAAGAGAAGATACCCGTGTGAAGACAGTGGCAGAGATCCAAGGGAGGATGTCTGGGGACTCCCGGAAGCTGGAAGAGGGAGGAAGGACCCTCCACTGGGGCATCCAGAGGGAGCACAGGCCAGTGACACCTTGATCTTGGACTTCCAGCCTCCAGATGGTGAAAGGGAGAATTCTGGTTGTCCCAAGCTGCCTCACTGGTGGTAACTGGTGGCAGCAGCCCCTGAGACTCAGAAGCTCCACCCCACACCCTGCAGTCTCTGACAGATAAGAGAGTTGATAGCGCCACTCACCAAAGGCTGCTTCTAGAATGTTCCGAGCAGCTGTCGTCACAATAGCCCTGACTGGAAACAACTCTAATGCCTGTCATCAGGGGACCAGATCATTCTCTGGCCTTTCCACAAAATGACATGCTCTCCAATGACAAAGAATGACACCCAGGTCACTCCCATGGCAGCAGGGCGAGTGTGAGTCAGACAGGAGGGGATAGAAGATATCATGGACATGTTGCAAGTGACCATCAATGACAGAGGGGACCGAGGAAGGGTGGGGGCTCCCTGGGTGGAAAGTGACTGGGTGGGGCCTGTCCTGTTGTGTTATTTGCCCCTGGCAAAAGTTGCTGGTTACACTTTTCCATACATTTAAATTAAAAACAAGTCTGAAGAGCTAAATAAATGTCAGTGCTTCCACCTGGGAGACAGGTGTGTATCCGCTCACCTGTACTCCCAGATGAGCTGATGGGGTGGTGGTGGAGGCAAGGCCCAGAGACAAACTTCAAGGGGCATGGGGGGCAGAGCAAGGCCAGGTGCAGAGCGAGCCAAGGCCGCGTCTCCTGCCCCAGACCCAGGCCACACCACCAACTCAAACACCTGGGCCAGTGATAAGCAGATAATAAGATCTGCATCCCTAGAGCCAACGTGGACTTCTCAGTAGGGTGGGGGTTCATTAATAATTAGCCTTCATCCCTTCCTCCCAACAAATCCAACACCCTCTAGTAAAAGCCAAAGTCCTCACCACACCTTCCAGGGACCTGCATGGCCCAACCCCTGGACCCACCTCCTGTCTTGCCCTGGCTCTCGAGGTTCCAGGCACATGGGTCTCTCTGCTCTCCCTCTAACCTGCCAAGCATGGTCCTGCCTCAGGGCCTTTGCACATCCCCCATACCTGACCCACTCCTGCCCCCATGTTCACAAAACTTGTGCCCTCACTTTCTTCATGTCTGTACTCAAAAGTCACTTCCAGGTACTTCTCTGATGGTCCAGTGGCTAAAACTCTGCACTTCCACTTCAGGGGGCACAGGTTCAATCCCTGGTCAGGGAACAAAACTCCCACATGACACGTTGCATGGCCACACACACACACACACATAAAATCACTGCCACAGAGAGGCATTTTCCCAATGCTTCCAGCTCCTGCCCCCTGTAGCTCCTCGCTGCATATTCTCCCATGATACTCTTTCTGACCTGTTATGCATTTATCCTGTCAACTGTGACCTCCCCAAATTCTCAGGAGCAGGAGTTTGTTTCTCTGGGTCGTTATTCTGCCTTTGGCTCCTGGAGCAAGGCCAGGCATACAGTAGGTGTTCAGCATTTGCTGAGAGGTTGACTGAATGAACTGAACCCACTGCTCACCGGTAACTCTCACACCGTGCCTCCTCCTGCCTTGCTGGAATTCTCAAGGATGAGGACTCAGGGCTGCCCAGTTGGGGGCTGTGCAGAACTGCCTCCTTTTTGTGAAAACTGTGGTGGAGAAGCTCCCACCAGCTGGAGGCAGACTGGGCCAACAAGAGGGAAGAGGGATAATGTGTCCTGGGATTGCAGGGAACTTCCTTGGTGGTGTATTGGTTAGAGAAAACCAGAACACCCTCCCTCTCCCAGCCATTCAAGTTCAGGTCCTTGGAAGCACAGCCTGAGTCAGAAGGTGGGGGGCGGGGGAAGCTGAGCGATGTGGTGGTCTCAGGGGAGCCCCTGAAGCAGGTACCCCACCTTGAATCAACCCCACCAGGAGCCCATGTTTTAAAAGTGCCCTCACAGCTGTCGGTCACTGACTCCAGTCTACTCCCAAGAAGGAGGCCGTAACCTCGAGGGCATCTCCAGGGAGATACTTGCTGTCATCCAAAGACAAATCTACTGCCAAGGGGGCAGGTTTCATCCCTGGACGGGGAACTGAGATCCCACATGGCCAAATATCTCCAGATGTGGCCCAGTGGCCCCGGGGCAGGAACATCCCCTGTTGGGAACCACCGAGCTGCCCGTGGAGCCACCACCCTACTGGGGTCCCTGCTTTCTCCTCCTAACCCTCCTCTTGCACCAGAAGTGTGACTGACCAGAATCAGGGGTGTGTAGAGCTCTGGTGGGGGGCAGACTGTGAGGGACACCATGGTCCTTCCAGCTGTGGCTGCAGCCGCCTTGTGGGAGACCACCAGGGAAGCCCCCTGCAATCGCAGGACACAACATCCCTCTCCGTCCTTATAGGCCCAGTCTGTCCCCAGTTGGTTGTTGCTTGTCCATCACAGACAGTTTTCATGAGGAGGCAATACCTGCTCCAGGGGCTCCCCTGAGACCACTGCCTCACTCAGCTCCCCTCACCCCCTACCTTCCGACTCAGGCTGTGCTTCCAGGGATGTGAACTTTAACAAGTGGGAGAAGGAGGGTGTCCTGGCTTTCTCTCTGGTTGGATTGATTTGCTACTTTTTGCTCAGATGTGTTTGCACCTATATCCACACGACAGGCACATCACCTTCCTTACCTGACCTGTCTCTGCCTGTTTTTATGATCAGGGTGGCGCTGGCCTCACAGAGGAAACCAAAGGCAGGTTGTAGGGGGTCCTGTCCCTGCTTACTCAGATCCTGCCCCCAATTTCCTAGGAGGCCAGGCAGACATCCACAGCCAGCCTCCCGGCCTCTCTGCTGAAGGTTGCCTGGTGGCATCTGGTCCCATCACTTCATGGCAAATAGAAGAGGAAAAAGTGGAATCACTGACAAATTTTATTTTCTTGAGCTCTAAAATCACTGTGGACAGTGGCTGCAGCCATGATATTAAAAGATGCTTGCTCCTTGGAAGGAAAGCTATGATAAACCTAGACAGTATATTAAAAAGTAGACATCACGTTGCCGGCAAAGGTCTATACAGTCAAAGCTATGGTTTTCCCAGTAGTCATGTACGGATGTGAGAGTTGGACCATAAAGAAGGTTGAGCACCAAAAAATGGATGCTTTCACAATTGTGGTGCTGGAGAAGACTCTTGAGAGCCCCTTGGACTGCAAGGAGATTCAACCAGTCATTTCTAAAGGAAATGAACCCTAAATGTTCATTGGAAGAACTGATGCTGAAGCTCCAATATTTTGGCCACCTGATGCAGAGAGCTGACTCATTGGAAAAGACCCTGATGCTGGGAAAGATTGAAGGCAGGAGGAGAAGGGGGCGTCAGAGCAAGAGATGATTAGACAGCATCACTGACTCAATGGACATGACTTTGAGCAAACTCCAGGAGATGGTGAAGGACAGGGAAGCCTGGTATGTTGCAGTCCATGGGGTCACAAAGAGTTGGACAGAACTTAGTCACTAAACAGGGCTTCCCTGGTGGCTCAGATGGTAAAGAGTCCGCCTGCAGTGTGGGAGACCTGGGTTCAATCCCTGGATTGGGAAGATCCCCTGGAGAAGGGAACAGCTACCCACTTCAGTATACTGGCCTAGAGAATTCCATGGACAGAGAAGCCTGGCAGGTGACAGTCCATGGGGGTCACAAAGAGGTGGACATGACTGAGCCATTTTCACTTCACTTCACTAGCCACTGAACAACTGCAAGCCTGGCCCTGCCTCAGAGGTGCCTGCAGGGGGCGCTGGCTGGAGTGAATGGCCACTACTTCCCCAGTGACCAGCAGGGTGGTGGATCCTGCCCAGCTCTCTTGGCTCCTGGGCAGGAAAAATCTCAGATATGCTTCCGACGGGACAGAGTGACAGGTGCCAGCAGGTGTGCTGGGTTTAGCCACCCCTGCCTTCTCGGCCTCTTTCTCTTCCCACTTCGGTCTCTTTCTATAGGCTCCTCCTGGGTTCCCTCCCAAATAAAGAGCTTGAATTCAGATTCTTGTGAGGTGGGACTGTTGCTTTTAGCTGGCTCCTCTGGAAGAGTTTTCAAAGAAGGGGACTTCCTTGGCTCCCACTGCAGGGAGCATGGGTTCAATTCCTGGTCAGGGAACAAAGATCCCCCATGCTGCCTGGTGTGGCCAAACAAGGAGGAGATTGTGGTGAACAGGCCTGAGAGCTCCTGAAGGGGAGAGAGAAAGCTTAAGGACATGGGCTCAGGGTCCATCTCAGCCACTTGGTGAGACCTCCATTCTGAGCCTTGGTCTTCTCATCTGTAAAGTGGGGCTGGCCCAGCACCCGCCCCCGGGAAGCCCCTCCCCAGAGCCAGAGGACAGACAGGGGAGATGAATCTGGTCCAGAGAGCTTTACTGAGCCCTCCCTAGCAGGCCAGGTGCTTCATCCGCCAGCAGTGCTGCAGGCAGCGGAGCCTGTGTCTGTAGTCAGGCCAGCTGTAGGTGACCTCAGTGGTGGACTCTGAGCTGTATTCTGGGGAGGACTCAGGCTGGCCGGAAGAGGGGAGCTCTGGCACCGAGGTGCTGCTGGTGGCCTTTGTCATGGGCCGTTTCTGGTGCCGTCTGCTGGACTTGGGGGCGGAGGCATCTGGCCCGTTGGGGGTCTTGTTGGGGGGCTGCGTGGGGGTGGTGGTGCCACTGGGAGACTGCCCAAGGGCAGGGCCCTGGCTGGAGGTGGTGCTGGGCCGAGGTGTGGAGCCTGAGGGCCCTTGGGAAGGGCCTGAGGAAGTGGTGGAGGGTCGGGCACGCTGCTGCCTGGGGTCCTGGGTCTGGCTGAAAGAGTTGGCTTGAGATCGGAGCCCACCCCGGTGCTTGCCAGGCGGCTGCATGCCAGTGGCCGTGGTGGCAGCTGCGGCCTGGGCCTGGGCCTGGCCCAGGCTGGTAGAACTCCTGAGGGCGGGCTTTGTGGCGAACGAGGGGCTGGTGGTGGGCTCTGCTGGTGAGTCGGCGGAGGAATCCGCAGACGACTTGTGCTGTGGCACATCCTCTGTCTCACGGTCCGGTGCGTCCGCGTTCGGGCTGGCTGGGGGTTTTACTCGGCCTTCTGAAGCTGGGTCACGCTTACTTTCCCTGTTGTGGAAAAAGCACGCCAGGGGTAAGTGAGGCGAGTCTGCCTGTGCCGAGGGCCCGAGGGCCAGGCTCGGCCAGTAACACCTGGGCGCAGGCCACTGAGGACCGGCATGGGGCCCACTTGAGGGACCGGCAGCCAGCCCTGGCTGGGATAGAAGCAGGTGCAGGCATTCACACACACGCATGTGCGCTCACACACGTCTAGGAGCCCCCTTCCAGGGGTGGGTGCTTACGTACAGTCGACTCCGAGGGCAGAGAGGGGCCCGCTGCTGTGGCTGCCGGGGTGATGAGAGCCCGGCTGCGGGCCAAGGCCTGCAGGACTGGTTCCCGAGAGCGTGGGAGAGAGAGGTGGACAGTGAGATGGGGAGGAGGAGTGCCCGTCAGAGGCAGCAGGGATGCCAGACAGAATCAGGAGGACAGGAGGCAGGAGTGAAGGTGAGTGGGGCTGGGGAAGCCGGGAGACAGAGACCAGGCATACGGACACCACTCGCCCTGCACGCACGCACCGTCCTTCGTCATTCCGGCTGCCACGTCCAGGGCCCGCCCGCTGATGTCGCTCACGATGCTGTCCACGGCCTCGTGATGCTTTAGAAACAGAGGACGTATGATGCGATGGTACAGCATATGAGCCCCGTTCCAGGGGCCTGGAGCCATGCAGAACAACAGGAAGGCGCACTACAGGCAGAGGTCAGGAGTCACACTGGGCCTCCTCCATCAGACACCCCTAGGAATAGGCCTGGCCTCCCCCATCAGACACCCTTAGAGATGGGCCTGGCCTCCCCCATCAGACACCCTTAGGGATGGGCCTGGCCTCCCCCATCAGACACCCTTAGGGATGGGCCTGGCCTCCCCCATCAGACACCCCTTTGGGTACCCGCCCCCAGGATGGAGTGGTGTTACCCAGGTGGTGCCAACCTTGCCCGCGTAGTAGAAAGGGAACCAGGACAGGAGTAGATCGCTGAAGAATTCGGCTAGCCCGAACAGGCCGTACACCACCCAGTATGTGAGCCACACAGTGTCGTCCTCTTTGTTTGGGCTCTCGATAGCTTTGATCCTGGGAGAGGCATGGCAGGGTCAGAGGTTGCCCAGAGAGTGCCCTGGCGCCCCCCGCCCTGCCCCAGCAGGCACTCACGAAGCATATGCGGGGTATGCAAAGCCGATGAGACTGCACAGCAGAGGAGCCCCGTACCCGAACAGAAGATACAGGCTTAGCAGAGTGGCGGCTCCTGCAGACAGAAGGTGGTAGGCGTGGGCTTCGCCTGCTGAGCCCGGACCCCAGCGTCCCATGGGCCTGGCCCACGCATCCTGCACCATCAAGCCTCCCAGAAGCCTCGGCAGCCCCTGTAGCACCTGGGCACCCCCATCATGGCTCTGAACCCTGACTCTTGGGCCTGTGCCCTAATATGTCCATCTCCCCCACAGGACTGCCAGATCGCCCAGGGCAGGTGGGCACCTCAGGATTGGTCTGTACCAAGTAGCTGCCCAGTGTTTATTGAATGAATATGGGATCTCTACAATTATAACCATCTCACTCCAGGTCCTACAGGAGTCACTGAGCTGAAGGGGCTAGAATTTGAATACAAGTCATGGGAGAAGACAGATTCTTTACCCTCTGAATCACCAAGGAATTCTATGGATAGAGGAGCCTGGTGGGTTACGGTCCATGGGGTTGCAAAGAGTTAGACAGGACTAAGCGACTAACACTCTACTTTCAGTGGGAGAAGAGGCTTCCCAGGTGGCGCCGGTGATAAAGAACCCGCCTGACAATGCATATGTAAGATACATGGGTTTGATCCCTGGGTCAATAGGAACCCACTCCACTATTCTTGCCTGGGAAATCCCATGAACAGAGGAGCATGGTGGGCTACAGTCCATGGGGTCACAAAGACCGAGACACGACTAAGCAACTAAACAAAAACAACAATGGGAGAAGAACCTGAAAATGAGGCCATTCTGTTGTTAATACTTGATTCCTGGAGAGCGGAGAAAGGCAACAGAGTTTGTAACTTTGATCTTAGTCAAGGGTCTCTTCCCCTTGCTACTGCTGACTCTTGGGGGATCTTGGGCACTTGGGGGATCTTGTGGGGCAGGGAGCAGCATCCTTGCCCTCCCCCCTGCTTGATGGCAGGAGCACCCAGAGTCATGACCACCAGATGTCCCAGATACTGTCCAGTGTCCCTGGGGGGCAACAGAACCCTCCTATGAGAGCCTTTGTCTTCGTGGCAGGATGCAAAGGGTCATATTGAGAGTCCCTCAGACGGAGAACTCTCACCCACTATGAGACCCCTAGTGACTGTCTCTTTGCTTGGAACCTCAGTTTCCTCATCTGTCAGTGGGGCAGTAGTGGCCCAGTCTCTGAGGGTTGGTGTGGGGGTAACTAAATAAGACAAAAGAGGGGACCCCTCCCTACACAGTGAGCCCCTATGGTAGCCCAAACACACTCTCAGCAATGAGGGTTCAGAGGACATTGTGGTGGGGGGGGGAGAGCCACGAGTGTTAGCCACTCTGAAATCAGAATGGTCGGTTACATTTATTAAGCTCTTCTTGTATGCAGGGCTCTATCCTCCCCCTGTTCTATCTCATTCAACAGCCAGATGAAACAGAAGCTGGCGGGGGGGGGGGGGGGGGGGGGACAGGGGGGGTCAGGCTCACACTAGGTCACTTGGGGAGCCTCTGACTTCTGGGAGCACTTACATCCCCTCCCCCACCTCCAGGCTGTTATCTGCAGAGAGAAACAGAGGCCACCAGTGGACCAGAGGGCAGAGTTCCCTTCCCCCTCCCCCCCAACCTGTGTTAGCCTTTATCCCTGGGGTCTGGCATCAGGAGAGGAATGGGGGAATATATGGCTGGCTCTAGGCAGCCTGCTCACTGCTTCACCTGGGTTTCCTCCTCTGGTAGCTGGGAGGGGAGGAGGGTTTAGACGATCTCAGGCAAGTGGGGCCTGAGGGTTTCTACATCTGGGAACGGGGGTGGGGGAGTGGCACCCCTTCCCTGGAGATTGCTACTTGGGGAGCAGTAGCTCTCGCAGGGCCTCCCTTCCCTCAATCCGGATTTCTGCAGCCTCAGCAACGGGAGGATGACCTGGGGCATGGGCGGGGGTGGTCCTCGAGATCAGCAGCAGATGGGGTGGGGTGGGGTGCTCTAGACAGGGCAGATTGCAGGGGCAGCCTCCCATGCAGCCCCTGCTGCTCTGGGCCGTTTTTCTGCCCTGTGACCCTCCAGTCTCCTCAGCAGGACTCTCTCAACGGGCCCCTCCCCAGAGCTCTATGACCTAAATCCCCCACCCACTGGTGACAGGGATGTGGAAAGCCAGGCAGGGGATAAAGGGCTTGCTCCCAGGGGAGGTCTCTGGCTGACCCGAGTTGGGCACCAGCAACCTGGAGGGACAGGTTTGGATCCTTCCTTGGGCTGCCTGGCATGACAATCCCCCAGCTGGTGGGAAATGGGAGGAAAGCGGACTCTCGGGATCTGTACACAGGTGCTTAAAAAACATGGCATGTCCTCACCCAGAGCCGCCCCCCAGTGTCCAAACTAACTGTCCTGAGACTCATTCTAGGCGGGCTCCTCGGAAGAGGTGGCAGAAGGGGGTTGGGTCTGAAGCACCAAAAAAGAGGAGAGGCACTTAAAGGGCACTTACTGGACAGTTTCAGAGAATGGCAGGAGCCACCCAAAGTCACTGAGGAGGAAAGGCAGAGGAGGGACTGGAATGGAAGTGACAATTAGCGGTGACTGGACTCCCTATCCACGGGCGCCAGCCAACGTTTCTGCAAGCCCACCGCAGCAGTCAAACAATCCAGCTCAGGGGGGCAGAGTGAGAGGGCAGACCAAGGGGTTGAGCTTGGGGTGGGGTGATTCTAGCAGGAAAACCTCGGGAGGAGGGGTGGGAGTGACCCTTCCCTTCCTGGTCTGGAGCATCCCCTGGGAAAACGGGAAGCTCTCTACACTTGCTTCCAGGCTGGAGTCCATCTGGGAAGAGGGTGGCGAGACTGGCAGGACATTGCTATCTACCTGCCCTCTCCTCCCCCAGGACCAGAAGAACAACCGGAAAAACCGGACTTCTGCCTGGAGGGCACCCAGAGCCAGGAGGGAGGAGGGGGCAAAGGACGGCTGCAGGGCCGAGAGGGGGTTGGTCCTCGACTGAGGTCTCACGGCGGGGGCGAGAAGAGACTGCGGCCAGAACCAAGGTCCTGGTCCTCAACCCCTCCCCAGGATCTCGGTCTCCTAGCTGGACTGTGGGAGTGCCCCGCCGCCTGGGTTGGAACCCGCAGCCGGGGCGGCCGAAAGGGAGAGGTCCGAGGCCCCGAGAGGCCAGGGCCTCACTATGCCTGTCGGCGAAATGGGGCGGCAGCCCCAAGCGCTGCCCACGACGGCTCACCCGTGGCCAAGTACCGCTTGTCGACACCTGTCTTGGCTTCTAGCGCCCCTAGCGCTTCGGTGGCCAAGTTCCTCTGTTCCAGAAAGCGCTCGAAGCGCTGGCGCAGGCCGTCCATGGCACTTGGGCGCCCGGGACTGGCAGCTTGAACTTGACCGTCTAGCCGCGCACCGGCTAGACTGCTTGCACACCGCCTTCCTTCGGCGTGAGCCGCACCGCTCAACTCCCGGGCGGGTCTCCGCCCCCGGGCTGGTTTCCGCCTCCTGCCCTCCGCTCTGGCCAATGGGAGGGCAGGGCGGACAAAGGAGGTGGGGCCTGCCCCGTCTCCTCCGCCGCATTGCCCTCTGGAGGGCCGCGGCAGCCGCAGCCGCGACTTTGGAGGAAGGGGGCGGGGCGCGGTGACTGAGGGCACCGATTGGCTGAGCGGGAAGGGGACGTAGCTGATTGGAGGGGCGGGGTCATGGCCGGGGGATTATTGGCTGAGCGGTTGTGGGTGGAGCCGGGGGCGTAGAGAAGAGTGCTGGGGAGGCGGGGATGGTGGGCGGGGCTGGAGAAAGTTCAGAGCTGATTGGAGAAACAAGAAGATGTTTATTAGGGAAAACAGGAAGTGGGGCTGAATATAAAGGAGGAGGGGCGGAATCGGAAAAGCGGTGCTTCAGTTCAGTTCAGTCGCTCAGTCGTGTCCGACTTTGCGACCCCATGGACTTCATCACGCCAGGCCTCCCTGTCCATCACCAAATCCCGGAGCTTACTCAAACTCATGTCTATCGAGTCGGTGATGCCATCCAACCATCTCATCCTCTGTCATCCCCTTCTCCTGCCTTCAGTCTTTTCCAGCATCAGGGTCTTTTCCAGCGAGTCAGTTCTTTGCATCAGGTTGCCAAAGTATTGGAGTTTCAGCTTCAGCATCAGTCCTTTCAAAGAATGCTTAGGTCTGATTTCCTTTAGGATTGACTGGTTTGATCTCCTTGAAGTCCAAGGGACTCTCAGGAGTCTTCTCCAATACTACAGTTCAAAAGCATAATTCTTTGGCGCTCAGCTTTCTTTATAGTCCAACTCTCACATCCACACATGACTACTGGAAAAAACCATAGCTTTGACTAGATGGACCTTTGTCAGCAAAGTAATGTCTCTGCTTTTTAATATGCTGTCTAGGTTGGTCATAGCTTTTCTTCTAAGGAGGAAGCATCTTTTAATTTCACGGCTGCAGTCACCACCTGCAGTGATTTTGGAGCCCAAGAACAAGGGGCTAAATGTAGGAGGCGGGGTTTATTCAAAAGAGCTATTCTGGTTGGATTAGGAAGGAGGTAAGACTTATTCTAGGGGTAGGGGTGTATATGAAGTCGGCGGGGCCAATATAGGGCGGAGTCAATTATAGCAATAATGAACTCGCTCCTCTAGGTCAAAAGAATTGCGGGTCATTGTACAAACGGGGAGACTGAAGCTCCAGAGGGTTTGAGTCTACAGAAGACCGGTCTGGGCATGTGTCTCCCCAACACTTCTATTAGAGCTTTGCGCCCTTCCATTGGGGGAGCCGCAAGGCTCCTTGGGAGTTGAAGCTTTTCAGGGGTTGCTATGGCGCCGGGGGCGGGGCGGGCGCTTGGGCCGGCTCGGCGGTTTGGCCAGGAGGAGGGGCTTTTTGAGGCCCCGCCCCGGCCCCGCCCCCGCCGCCATGCGGCCCGCCTGTACTGCGCTCTGTCTGCACCTGACCTTGGCCCTGGGCCTGGCGCTCGTTGGCCCCATGGCTGTGGGGTGGGCCTCGACCCGGGCCCCCATCTATGTCAGCAGCTGGGCCGTGCGGGTGTCCCAGGGTTACCAGGAGGTCGATCGCCTGGCGCGTAAATTCGGCTTCGTCAACTTTGGGCAGGTGGGCGGGACCCAGATTGACGGGAGGAGGCGGGAAGATGTAAGAAGGGGACGACCCCAGATCTCTGCAGAAGGGAGGGGCCCCCTCGTTCCCCATATATCAAGGACCCCCAGCTCACCCCTACTTTGTCTAACTTCAGATTCTTGGACCCCGAGAATCTTGGTTGGGGGAAGATGTAAGAAAGGGACTGGCCCCAACCTGAGAAGAGCTCCATCAGGGGAACCAGGTCTCAGCCATGCTCCCCTTCATTCCCAGATTTTCCCTGACGGGCAGTATTTCCATCTGCGGCACCGGGGCGTGGTCCAGCAGTCCCTGACCCCGCACTGGGGCCACCGCCTGCGCCTAAAGAAAGACCCTAAGGTGAGCCTGGCCTTCCCTCAAAGGTTTCCGCCACCTCCTATTATTCTTGTATTTGTAATGAGCTGTGTGACCTTGGGCAAGTCACCAGCTCTCTCTGAGTCTTGGTATGGATTTGGCTCCCTAGTCTACAGTCGGGAGCCAGATAGGGAAGATCTGTGGAAAGCAACAGATCATGTGTGAGTGCAGCACTCACCCCACGGCCTGGTGCCCTGTCAGCATTTCTTGTCATCCCCCTCTCTCCTGTATCTCACCCAGAAAGATCAAGGTCCCCAGGTATAAAAAGGATGGCCTGGGGGGCTGACTCGCAAGAGTCAATCTGAAACCCACCAGGAGCACTGGTACCAAGAGAAAAGGCTGGTTGGAGATGTGGTCTTGATAGAGGCCAGATCTGGCAGATTGGTTGGGTGTAGGGGGGCAGAGAAAAATTCAGGGGCAGCTTCCATGTCTGGAGCTGAGCAAATGGGCAGAAGATGGTCCTGATTGCTGAGATAGGGGTGGGAGGGGGAACATGAGCCAGTTTGGGCAGGGGGTGGGAGTAGAACAAGGAAAAGGGGGTAAGAATAAAGGCCTGAGGAAGAGTGGCCCGAGGCAGGCAAAAGGGCATGTGCAAAGGCCCTGGGTGCAGCAGCCACTGTGGTTGCAGCAGAGGAAGGCTGGTGGGGGCCAGACAGACAGGGGGCCTCTCAGGCTTCAGAGAGAGTGGGGCAGGAAGGTTCATAGACAGTGATGCTGCAGCATGCCTAGAGTGAGTTGCAGAGAGGTGGCGGGGACAGAGCAGCTAGAGGACCAGGCAGGAGGTGGGTATGGCCATACAGGTGTGTCCTGCACCCGGAAGAGTGTGGTTGAAAGAAGTGGATGCTGCAAGGGGAGAGGGATTCTAGAATGTGGACAGAGGCAGAGTGAGCCACAGTGGCCCTGGGCAGTAGCTACCACATGTGTGGGGGTCCCTTGGGGATGGGTGCTCTGAGGATTTCAGCGTCCTCCCAAGGCAGAGCCTCAGGCACACGGGAACCTCCTAGAGCAGTCCCAGCAAACACAGGGTCCCTGGCTCCATCCTATATCACATGGGTCCCCATGGGACAAGTAGGTGACAGCCCAGACACACAACCTCCTAACCCTCAAACCCCACACACCTCTGCCCCCCACCCCAGCAGACCCAGGAAGAGGCCTGCCCAAACCCTGGAAGCAGATTTTGGCCTCTTAGCCAGGAATCTGCAGAAGAGCTAAGAGGCAGGGCCCTCTAAAGTATTCTGGTGTGAGGACAGGAAGCTGGGAGTAGGGCTGGCTGCTCGCAGGTCCAGCCCCTCCCACAGTGTGGTCTCCTCTGCCCCCCACCCACCACCAGGTGCAGTGGTTCCAACAGCAGACAGTGCAGAGGCGGGTGAAACGCTCCCTGGTGGTGCCCACGGACCCCTGGTTCTCCAAGCAGTGGTACATGGTGAGCTGGCCGGGCCGGGCAGCGGGGCCTGGCCATGTCAGAGCCCTCCTGACCCTGGCCCCGCCTTGCACAGAACAATGAGATGCAGTCAGACCTGAACATCCTGCAGGTCTGGAGCCAGGGGCTGTCGGGCCAGGGTGTCGTGGTCTCCGTCCTGGATGATGGCATCGAGAAAGATCACCCAGACCTCTGGGCCAACTACGTGAGCCTGCAGGGCTGGGGTGGGGGCTGCCTCATGTCTTCCGGCTGGTGGGAGCCCCCTCATGTCTCCACCCCCCTCCCCCAGGATCCCCTGGCCAGCTATGACTTCAATGACTATGACCCAGACCCCCAACCTCGATACACACCCAGCGATGAGAACCGGTAAGCCTGGCATTCCCAGGGGTATGGGGGCAGACCCTGTTTCCCTACAAGGAGCCAGGGGGATGTGATGAGCTCCTGTCTCTGCCCTGGTGCCAGGCATGGGACCCGCTGTGCCGGGGAAGTGGCGGCGATGGCAAACAACAGGTTCTGTGGTGCAGGTGTCGCCTACAACACCCGCATCGGAGGTACTCAGACTGGGGGGTGGGGAGCCTCCTGGCCTCATGCCCTTGCTGCTGAGCAGTGGTGCCAAGGTGCCAGGCCCAGGGTGGAGGAGAACTGAGCACCCCCCGTCATCGACGCCTTCACCCCCAGGCGGGGAGAACATGGGGCACAGGCAGGGTGTCCAGCGAGGCCGCAGCTGCCGCCCATGCAGGTGTGCGCATGCTGGATGGCACCATCACTGACGTGATCGAGGCCCAGTCGCTGAGCCTGCAGCCACAGCACATCCACATCTACAGCGCCAGCTGGGGCCCCGAGGACGACGGCCGCACGGTGGACGGCCCAGGCATCCTCACCCGAGAAGCCTTCAGGCGTGGCGTGACCAAGGTGAGTGGGTACAAGGCATGGTGGGTCCGGGGCCTACACACAAGGCTCCCGCCCCACCCCAACTCCCGCCTCTGTGCTGGTCCCTTCCTGCAGGGCCGAGGCGGGCTGGGCACCCTCTTCATCTGGGCTTCAGGCAATGGAGGCCTGCACTACGACAACTGTAACTGCGATGGCTACACCAACAGCATCCACACGCTCTCGGTGGGCAGCACCACCCAGCAAGGCCATGTGCCCTGGTACAGTGAGGCCTGCGCCTCCACACTCACCACCACCTACAGCAGCGGTGTCGCCACAGACCCTCAGATCGTGAGCTCCCCCGCCCCCTGCACCCTCCCACGGCCAGACTCCCAAGGCCTCCTGCCTCTGCCTGCCCCACCCAGCCGCCTGTCTCTCTCCTTCCCTCCTGTTCCCCGCCTGGCCTCCTCCCAGGGCTGCCCCGTTGGCACCGGACACAGAGTGGGGTCCCAAACCATGGGTTGGCACCCCTTCATGCACCCTCTTGTCTTCCAGGCGGCCCTCCTCAGTGCCCCAGGCCTGCTGTTGTGCTCTGTGGTGCCTCTTTATTGAAGCCCTTGGGACTTTTGAAGCAGGGTGGGGTTTCTATGGGCACTGGTCTCAAGCCCTTGCTTGTGCCCCCCAGGTCACCACAGACCTGCACCACCAGTGCACGGACAAGCACACAGGGACCTCGGCCTCTGCCCCGCTGGCAGCGGGCATGATCGCTCTGGCTCTGGAGGCCAAGTAGGTGACGGTGGGGTCCCTCCAGCTTCCCGCACCCCACAGCGTGGCCCTGGCTCACCCACCCTCGCCCACTCGCAGCCCACTTTTGACATGGAGGGACATGCAGCATTTGGTGGTCCGGGCATCCAGGCCCGCGCAGCTGCAAGCAGAGGACTGGAGGACCAATGGCGCTGGGCGCCGAGGTGCAGCAGGGCCGGACGGGGGGTGGGGTGGGGGGGCCACCGCACGCACAGATCCATGACCGCCGGCCCCTCCCCCTGCAGTGAGCCACCACTATGGCTACGGGCTGCTGGACGCTGCACTGCTGGTGGGCATGGCTCGCTCCTGGCTGCCTACGCAACCCCAGAAGAAATGTGTCATTCATATTGTGCACACCCGCACGTGAGCGCGCCCCTTTGCCCACAGGACGCCTGCATCCAACTCAGCCTTTGTGCCTACCTCCCCACAGCTGTTCTCCCTCCTGCCATCTCACCCATTACTCCCTCCCCCCACCTGCCACCTCCCCCAGCCCTCCTCCACCTGCTTCTGTACCTGCCTTCTCCCTACACCTCCCATTGCTACCTGGGGAGTGGACATAGGGAGGTGTGCCTGTCTGAACAAGGAGAGGGTAGGCTTCAGGATCTGAGCCCAAACTCTGCCTGGCCCCCCACCAGCAGGCCAGCAGGAGAGGCCCTGGCCCCCAGCCCCATCCTGCCAGTCATGCGCGTGAGGAAGAATGTGTCGGCCTGCGCCGGCGACCCCAACTCCATCCGCTCGCTGGAGCACGTGCAGGTGCAGCTGTCCCTGTCCTACAGCCGCCGTGGGGACCTGGAGATCTCCCTCACCAGCCCCATGGGCACCCGCTCCACCCTCGTGGCCATCAGGTGCAGGGGCAGAGGCTGGCCCTAGGTGCAAACTCTCCCTCCTTTCTGGGTGCCCCCATGTGGAGGAGCCTGAGCACCCCGGGGTCAGGCAAGCTGGACCCCAGCCCTGTCCACATTGGCCATGCCAGTCAGGACTCTGGTTATGAACCCCCCCTCACCTGTCTGTCCCAGACCCTTTGACATCAGCAGTCAAGGCTACAACAACTGGATCTTCATGTCCACCCACTTCTGGGATGAAGACCCGCGGGGCTTGTGGATCCTGGGCCTGGAGAACAAGGGCTACTATTTCAACACAGGTGAGGTCCAGCCGGGTGCTGGCTGGGGCTCCACCCCTACCCACCTTGCAGACTGGAGCCCGTGGCCTCTTTAGCTGCCCCCGGACCTCACAGGGCTCCTGCTGGTCTGGGAGAGACTGAGCAGGCAGGCCTGGCACACAGTAGGTGCTCACTTACCAGCACACACCAGGTGTCTGGTTCCGAGCCCGTAGAGGGCACTGGGCAACTCTGCACCGTCTGTGTCCAGGGTTCCAGGATGGGGTGTGGGTGGCAGGGCGGGGGGCCCGTAATGGCAGGACCAGGCTGCCGACAGCCTCTCTCCCTCCTCCCTGTGCCCACCACAACCCCTGCCCAGGGACGCTGTACCGCTACACGCTGCTGCTCTATGGGACGGCTGAGGACATGACGGCGCGGCCCTCTGGCCCCCAGGTGACCAGCAACGCGTGCGTGCAGAGGGACACAGAGGGGCTGTGCCAGGGTGAGTGCCCGGCGCGGCATGGCCCATTTGCCGGGAGGTGGTAGCAGGGGCAGTGTGCGTGTGCAGCCTGGGGTGAAGGGGCGGGCAGGCTGGGGTGGCAGGTCTCAGCCTCACAGCCCCATGGACGTGTCTGTCCCTCATGCAGAGTGCCACAGCCCCGCCTACATCCTGGGCCACCTTTGCCTCGCCTACTGCCCGCCAAGATACTTCAACCACACCCAGCAGGCGGTGACCGCTGGACCCAGGCGCTCAGCTGCGCCTGCCATGCAGGTCTGCTCCAGCTGCCACTCATCCTGTTACACCTGCCGAGGCAGCTCCCCGCTGGACTGCACTGCCTGCCCTCCGCAGTCCGTGCTGGACGAGCAGCAGGGCTCTTGCTCTGGACCCTACCCCCCTGAGGGCCATTCCCACTCCACGGCAACTGCCCGCCCCTCCCACCATGGCCCAGCCCAGGCTGTGGTGCTGTCCCTGCTGGCCATGGCATTTGGGAGCCCCCTCCTCTGCCATGTTCTGCTCATGGGCTGCCTGCTGCCATGGATGGGACCCCCTAGGACAGGGGACCACTCCAGACCCTGCAGCAGGCTGGAACCCAGAACCGGCTGACAAAGACAGCCAGCATGCACCTCTGCTCGAGCCCTGGTGGGCACCCCCATCCTACTGTCCAGACTGGCGCCCCATAGGAACCTGCCCCGGGAAGGCCCTGGCAGCCTCGGAGGCACAGGCCAGGGGTGGCCATGTGGGATCCTGCACCCCGGATTTGGCAAGTCAAGGTCAAAGAGAGAGAGAGAGAAGTCTCATTGCATAGTTTGGGTGGTGTGGGTGGGGAGGTGGGGAACCAGGCTGGAGGCCGATATCACTTCCCTGTCCCAAGAGTGGAGGGAGGGAGAGACAGAGCAGATGACACTGTCCAGAGTCTCCTCTTGGGCACTTCATCCTCTGCGCAGAATTTGCAAATAAAGGTTGAATAGAAGGTGCAAGTCTGTGGGGTCCTTGGGGTACCACTCTCTTCCCCACGGTGTGATTGCTGGGCGGGGGGTGTCCCATGCACTCCATGTCTGTCCCTGGAGAAGGGGTCGGGGTCAGTGGAGTCCAGAGCCTATGCCCTGGGGGTGGGGGCTGGTGGGCTCCTGAATGATAGCTGTGGCAAAGCCTCTGAGAGCCCTGGAAGTGTCCTGGCCTGCTCTTACTGCTCTCCCATCCTTTTTCTTTTTTAATTTAATTTTTGCTGCACTGGGTCTTCATTGCTGCGCACAGGCTTTCTCTAGTTGGCAGTGCACGGGCTTCTCATCCTGGTGGCTTTTCTTGCTGTGGAGCACAGGCTCTAGGTGCTCAGGCTTCAGTAGTTGTGGCACATAGGGTTAGTTGCTCCATGGCATGTGGGATCTTCCCGGACCAGGGATTGAACCTGTGTCCCCCGCACTGCAAAGTGGACTCTTAACCACTGGACCACCAGGGAAGTCCCACCTTTTCCATCCTTATGCATGAGTTTCTCTTTAAGGCTGAGAACTAACAGGAGTGTGATCCGCAAATGACAATTGCAGATCTACCCACACGGCCTGTCTACCGGCTTCTGATAATTGCACTTTTCTCTGTTTTTCTGAGGTCCTTGGGAGGCTGAGGGAATCATGAACTGGAGATACAATGCTCTTTCTCCCTCAAGCCTCCACTTCCCCATCTGAGGATCCCAAAGTGCAGGGAGGGTGGGGTTGGGGTAGGGAGGGCATGGATGAAGCTATTGAGAGTCCTTCCTCTGTCCTCACACACATCTATGGGGTGGGGACACTCCTCGTTCCTTCTGATTTTCAGAGCTGGGAGGCAGTTTCCACAAGGAAGTGGAGGCTGGTTGTGCCTTGACCACAGGCTTCCTTTGAACTCCATGGAGGCTGTCCTGGTTTGTTGCAGGAGCCCCAGAGACACTCCTCTCCAGGGACCCTGGGCACCTGCTGAGCCACCAGGCTCCGGCTGGGCAGCCTCAAGCTGGAAAGTAATGGGAATGAAGTCAAGGGCTGCAGCTGGACCCACTGTAAGCAGGAGCAGCAGCCAGCTGCCCTCACCTCTAAAGTCCCAGCCACACCCCTAGAGTCCCACCCAGCTCAGCCCCTGCTTCCAGAGTTAGCTCCAGACTGTGAGTCCAGAGCCATCTGGCCTCCCTCTCAGAGCCTCAGTGACCACACCTGTGCAACAGCATTAAACCTGGCACCTGCCTCACCAAATCCAAAGAAGTAGTTTTCTGGCCTGACATACGGTAAGTGCCCAAATCATGCCAGTTTGGGGCAGCCACTTTGGGAAACAGTTCCACAGACAAACATGGAGCTACTGAAGGACCCAGTGATTCCACTCCTAGGCAAATGCCCAAGAAAACTAAAGATACATTCACACAAACAACTATGCCAGGATGTTCACAGCAGTATGATTCACAGCAGCCAAAATGTGGAAACAGCCTGAATGTCCACTAATGTGGGTGAATGAATAAATGCAGGGGGGTCCCTCCACACCAGGGAGCATCACTCAGCCATGAAAAGGAGAGGGGCACTGACACTCCGGACAACTGCAGATGAACTTTAAGAACACGATGCTCAGTGAGAGAAGCAGGACATAAAAGAACACAGGCTGTGTGATCCCGCTGATGTGAAACATCACTGTCTATTGCCGGGAGCCAACACACAAGACCCTACCCATGACAAGGTCATGAGGGAGAAAACCTGACAGGCAAGGCAGATCAGGTTTTCAGGGATTTCGAAAAGCTGCCCCCAGCGCTCACCTTAAAGATGATATCTGTCTTTCTGATGCTTGCTTCAATAGACTACTCCCTAATTTCTGTGATACAGGCAGAAGGCCTTCCCCGATCTCTTCCCAAATAAGAATCAATTTAGAACTTTAATCAATAATTTTCCCAGGTGGTGGTATTTTATGAGATTATCCAGGATGAAAGGAGTGTTTTAATTTAAACTCCTTTGCTGGTATTTTAGTTTTAGTTTGTTTGGCAAATGCATTTATGCCCTTGGTATTTTTTGCTTGCTGTGTTTTTGCTCTTAATGTGCTAAGGTCGTGTTATGGAAACCATTGTTAGTATAGTTATGGATCTAGAAAAATAAGAGCTTAGCCCTAGTGTGGTACCAATGATGGTTGCTAATTGTCAGCCAGGAATGCTAGGCAGAGGCTGCCTCACCGAAGCCGCAGAGTCTGTGTGGGGTAAACTTCTCAGATAAACGCAACTGACAACTTCTGCAGAAGGATTAATTTTTGTGTTAAGGTTATACTTCTACTCTGTACTGTTGTCCTATGAGACTGCTACCTTTCAGTTAAGGTCACCATAGAAACAGAAAATAGGTTTACATTCACCTGACCTGCATAAAATGTTAATAGGCCCCAAGGCCAGAAGATAAAGTACAAGACCCTTATAAACAAAGATGTATGCAGAAAACACCCTGGTTTCGTGAAGGACAAGCTGACATAATGTTAAACTATCTTCTCCTTAGAAATGTACTAACTTAGGGTATAAAAGCCACGGTAAAAAATAAAAGATTGCCAGACTCTGCTGCACCCCCCGTCTGGTCACTCTCTCTCTCTTTCTCTCTCTCTCCCTCGCAGACTTGGCCCTATCAAGGCTGGTCTCACGTGTCTTCTTTCTCTCTCTCTCTCTCTCTCTCTCTCTCTCTCTCGCTGATGCCATTCATCCTGAGGGTACCCCCTGGGTCCTGCCGAGGCTGGACCCCGGCAGTCTATATATTCCCAAAACACTGACTTGTACACTTTAAACAGGTAGATTTTATGGTATTGCAGGCTTCCCTGGTGGCTCAGATGGTAAAGAATTACCTCCCTCGCAATGAGGGAGACCCTGGTTCAATCCCTGGGTCCGGAAGATCCCCTTGAATAGGAAATGGCAACCCACTCCAGTATCCTTGCCTGGAGAATTCCGTGGACACAGGAGCCTGGTGGGCTACAGTCCATGGGACCGCAGAGTCTGACATAACTGAGTGACTGATACTACTAATACTACTACTTGTAAATTATGTAAATTGCTTTTTTTTTTTTTATTGCACCAGGGCAGCTTATGGGATGTAGGATCTTAGTTCTCCCACCTTGGACTGAGTCCAAACCCTCGGTAGAGAGAACAAGGAATCCTAACCACTGGTAGGTGGTGGTAGTGGTGGTTTAGTCATTAAGTCATCTCCAACTCTTTGCAACTCCAAGGACAGTAGCCCACCAAACTCCTCTGTCCATGGGATATCCCAGGCAAGAATACTGGAGTGGGTTGCCATTTCCTTCTCCAGGGGATCTTCCTGACCCAAGGATCAAACCCGAGTCTTTTGCATTTCTGGTGGTCTCCTGCATTGTTGGCGGATTCTTTACCGCTGGGCCACCAGGGAAGCCTTAACTTACTTTCTATAAAGTTGCCTAAACACAGAAAAACCTCCCTGGTCTGAGCAGATCTTCCCACCCTACTTAAGAGGGGAGAGGCCAAGATCAGCCTCCAGCGCTATGACCCCACCCTGAGGGAAGGGATTTTAGAGACTGGAGAGGCGACCATGATTTGGATTTGGAGGAGAGCCCAGACTAGAATGCTGCACCCCTGGTCACCTCAGTGGGGCTGGCACAGCTGGCATTTACTGAGTGCTCCCTGTGTGCCTGCCACCTTTTGTGTTCCCATGACAGCCATGTGGGTTGGAGGTCATGTCCCCATTTTGCAGAAAACTTGGCCTCAAATGCCTTGTTCAGTTCAGTCGCTCAGTCCTGTCCAACTCCCTGCAACCCCACGGACTGTAGCACACCAGGCTTCCCTGTCCATCACCAACTTCCAGAGCTTGCTCAAACTCATGTCCATCTAGTCTGTGATGCCATTCAACCATCTCATCCTCTGTCATCCCCTTCTCCTCCTACTTTCAATCTTTTTCAGCATCAGGGTCTTTTCCAGTGAGTCAGTTCTTTGCATCAGGTTGCCAAAGTATCGGAGTTTCACCTTCAGCATCTGCCCTTCCAATGAATATTCAGGACTGATTTCCTTTAGGATTGACTGGTTTGATCTCCTTGAAGTCCAAGGGACTCTCAGGAGTCTTCTCCAATACCACAGTTCAAAAGCATCAAGTCTTCAGTGCTCAGCTTTCTTGATAGTCCAACTCTCACATCCATACATGACTACTGGAAAAACCATAGCTTTGACTAGATGGACCTTTGTCAGCAAAGTAATGTCTCTGCTTTTTAATATGCTGTCTAGGTTATTCATAACTTTTCTTCCAAGGAGCAAGTGTCTTTTAATTTCATGGCTGCAGTCACCATCTGCAGTGATTTTGGAGCCCAA